TTTTTGGAAGGGCCAGTCCACCCTAAATTAATCTCAGATTTTTACCCTTTTCCTGAATTTGAACATAATTTTTAATGAGAAATATATAACTTTCAATGAAGAAACTAACCAGCTGTGAACTCAGTTCTCATGATCAGTGACAGTTTCTGAGTGGACTAGTGAAACACTTAAGTGGCATTTAACCTTTTGGCTCTAAGTAACACTAAAATTACATAGCAACTTCAACACATGATCACTGACAAAGCAAATATCGCTGTGAATTAAAATACCAAATGTTTAACACAGGAAAAGAACTTACCCCTGGAATAAGTGTTAGTCTATTACCATCCATCCAAAATTCCTTTAACCCACTCAGTTGTTCAAGTACTTCAGGCTGTAAAGGGATATAATTTTTTTTAAAACTTAGAAAGAAATAATGAACAGCAAAACCAACCCCAATAATTCATCTATTGCAACTTTAATAATGCCTCACTACACATGCTAAGATTCACATTTTTCACTGGGTCATCAAATAAAACTCAGATAATTCACTTTTGAAATGCAAATATAAACCAGATATGCAAAATACATTGAAGAACTTGATCACAGCACTAAATAATCTTTACAGAAAGGGTAAATTCCATCAGCTCAGAACACCTGGATTTCAAAAACTCAAGTGATTTTGTGGTTTGGGGGGAAGGATTATCTCCATGACACAAGGAAACCATTCCACCCACGAAGAGAAGTTGCAGGATTGTGTTTCCATTACAACTTATTGTTCAAGTGTCTTATGCATCAGGCAAAGAACACCTCTTGGTAAATTTTCATGTTGCATATGCTTTCCTATTTAAACTTCTCTCCTGAGAAAGGAACATAGAACTACTGCACCTAAGCAACTACAGCCAAGTTCAGCTAAATGCTAAGGAAGTTTTGTTACATGATAAACACACAGGATTCAGTCCTGACTCTTAATAACTCATTTTCCAAGAGATATTTGTAACTGAAGACAACCTCTCAGAGAGATCTTTATCCAAAACAACAGCCATGTCAAACTTTTTGCGCATTTACTCTTAAGATCTTAAGATCTGGTTAGTTACCAGTAGTTGATTCTTGCAGCTAAAAGACTGGCAGAGCCAAAGTCATCAGCCACAAATACAGCCAAACACGTAATTTTAGAGCCTGTACTTAATTCCTGGTTGTTATGGCTTAACATGGACATGTTAGTTTAAGGCAATGGGAATATGGCAACAATGGTAACAGCTAGAAGTTTAACAGTAGTAATGAACAATTCCTTAAATACACTCCCGTGTGCCAAACCACACCACGAGGCAAGTGTTTAGCTCTGCATGTTCTACTGGTGGCACAAAAAGGCTTCACTTTATTGTACTGAAGGTCACTGTGTTTCACTGTACTTCTACTTCAATTCCTTTACCAGGGAGTCTTCATAGAAAGGTGATTAGACACTGGAATGTACTGCCCAGGTAAGTGGTGCAGTCACCATCTCTGGAGGTGTTTAAGGACAGACTGGACCTGGCACTCAGTGCCCTGGTGTGGTTGACATGGTGGTGTTAGGGCATAGGTTGGACTCGATCTCAGAGGTCTTTTCCAATCTGATTGAGTCTGTGATTCTGTGATAGTACTTGTAGAAGCAAAGATATATTATGTGACTCTAAATACAAGATATATTTGTCTGTGAGACCACAAACAGGAAACAACTCAATCCATGCTGAAGGGAAAATCTGAGCACCTCATCTGTAAATACTACTTTGAACAATATTAAAACTTAAATATATTTTCCTTGGGATCTAAATAGTTTGGGCACAATAATAATAGCACAGAACTTGTAACATTAAATAGGTGATAATCAGGAAGTGTTTAGAATTTACAATAAGCCAAACATTCATGTTTGTAATTCAAGCACATATTACTATTAACTATTCACTCAAATGTATTATCTACCAGTACAGTAACCACACTGTATGACAGTGTGTTACTTTAATACTGACGAAAAAAATACTCATATTCATCAGAACACACACACAGTTTTTATAACAGGCTCCATATAGCAGGATAAGGTACACATAATATTTGCTCAGTAGCAGAAATGTTAAGCTGACGTTTACATTTTCATATTTATTAGAAAGAGGATAAAGAGATTGTATAAAAGATGCAAAGCTGTTACTAAGGCAAAACTCACCACTTCTGTGAATTCATTACTTCCCAAGTCCAGTCTCTCCAGCTGAGTCAGTCTGGACATGGTTCTGCACAGGAAGGAGATTAATAAAGAATTGTATGTAAGAAAACACCAGTTACATCCAGTCTTAGAGTATTTACAGAAATATATTGCTATAACCAGTATTTAGTAGTGATGCTGTTCTGTAACTGGAATGATACCTAAACAAGGTCAAATTTTCACATACTGTTCAACCAAGCATATAGCACTGACTGCAAAGTGCTGACTGTCTTTGTAGTCTGTGTGTACATCTTTGTGTACACATCTACAGATTAGTTCACAAAAAGTAATGACCATTAGAGTTATCTTTAAGTTATACAGTAACAGTGAAGCTTCTCTCCTTTTGGGTCGTTCAGCTTTTCACCTACAGCCACAGAAAGTCTCCTCAGCAGCCTTTGTGTTTTCCTCTCAAAGAAATGCCTAATGATGAGTTGAAACAGAGAAGGTCACTGTTGAACCACAGTAACCAACACCACCTTCCTCCTTCCCCAGGCTGCTGACAAAGTTGCTTCCACATGCTAAGGTCTGGAAGCCTAATTACTGCTCTAGTCATACATTAAATCAGATTACTAAATGGGATTTTGTGACACATCAATACTCTTTAAGCCAATTTATGGCAAAGATTAAATCAATGGCTGAAATAAAAGTAAAATCCATTATTTCAAGCTGTGTTTTGGAAATGTTTTTCCTTCATTTACATGTATTTTGTGGCCCCACAGAAATTATCTACCACTGCACATGGTGGTCTACACAACAGGTCAACACAGTAAACAGCAGTTCCACCTAAAAGTATTTTCAAAGGGGATACGAATCCCTCATATAGCATTATGTTCTGCATCTACTCAGTAATAGATTTCTACAGAATAAAAAGTAGTATCTAAAACTTTCAGATATAAATTGCAACCGTGAATTTCATTATTTTACTATTGT